CGAGGCGCAGGATCCTGCACTTTTCCTTGTTGAACCTCATGAGGTTCTTCCTTGCCCAGTTCTCCAGCCTGTCCAGATCTCCCTGGATGGCAGCATGGCCCTCTGGTGGATGATGGGGGATGATTTTAGGAACAACCAGCCCGACAGCATCAGCCACAGCTGTGAGAGATGCCTCCTACATCCTTGGAGTAAAGGGATCTTGGATGTGCCGCAGAGCCCTGGTCTAAACACACCGACACCTCCACCTATGGATAATTAACTAATTGAGGGCAGATTAATGCTGCCGCCATGGAAACCTCGGTGCTTCGCCCGTGAAAACACACCGAGTTAGTCAGCTGCTTCCACTGAATCATGGAAAAGCTTTTCCCTGATAAGATGTTTGAGGTTGGGGCTATCTCTTAACATCTGTGCTCCTGAGGTCATCACCCAGAATTTTGAAGAGACCCTTGGGATCATCAAGTCCAACCATCTACCCTACTCTACAAAGTCCTCCCCTAATCGGACAGATGTTATATTTTACCAATTAGTCTGTTCCAAAATTCCAGAAAAAATACTATTTATTTTGGATTCACCCACCTATGGATAATTAACTAATTGAGGGCAGATTAATGCTGCCGCCATGGAAACCTCGGTGCTTCGCCCGTGGAAACACACCGAGTTATTCAGCTGCTTCCACTGAATCATGGAAAAGCTTTTCCCTGATAAGCTGTTTGAGGCTGGTGCTATCTCTTAACATCTGTGGTCCTGAGGTCATCTCACAGAATTTTGTACTTTAATGATTTGGGTCATTTAAATCTACAGGCAATGAGTTTTCTGCTTCGTGGGATGAACAGTAACTTTGTTAACCCCTGGGATTTTATAACAGGTAGGAGATAATCATAGAATCATAGAATCATTCAGGTTGGAAGAGACCCTTGGGATCATCGAGTCCAACCATCTACCCTGCTCTACAAAGTCCTCCCCTAATCGGACAGATGTTATATTTTACCAATTAGTCTGTTCCAAAATTCCAGAAAAAATACTATTTATTTTGGATTCACATAATCATCGAATGGTTTGGGTTGGAAGGGACCTTCAATATCATCCAGTTCCAACCCCCTGCCCTGGGCAGGGACACCTCCCACCAGACCAGGTTGCTCCAAGCCCCGTCCAACCTGCCCTTGAACCCCTCCAGGGGACAAGGTTTGGAACAATCGTTCTAATTAAAGCATCTGAGGTATGTTTAGAACAACAGTCAAAAGACCATCTGTAACGGACACTAATCACCTTGATTAGTGTGCAGATGCAGCCCAGAAGGCCAATCCCATCCTGGGCTGCATCAAAAGAAGCGTTGCCAGCAGGTCCAGAGAGGGGATTCTGCCACTTTACTCTGCTCTGGTGAGACCTCACCTGGAGTATTGTGTGCAGGTCTGGAGCCCTCAATAGAAGAAGGACATGGACCTGATGGAGAGGGTCCAGAGGAGGGCCACGAGGATGATCAGGGGGATGGAGCACCTCTGCTCCGAGGACAGGCTGAGGGAGCTGGGGTTGTTCAGCCTGGAGAAGAGGAGGCTCCGGGGAGACCTAATAGCAGCCTTCCAGTACCTGAAGGGGCCTACAGGAAGGCTGGGGAGAACCTGTTTAGAAAGGCCTGGAGTGACAGGACGAGGGGCAATGGCTTCAAGCTGGAGGGGAACAGATTTAGACTGGAGATGAGGAGAGGGTTCTTCACTGTGAGGGTGGTGGAGCACTGGAACAGGTTGCCCAGGGAGGTCAACGAGGCCCCTTCCCTGGAGATATTCAAGGAGAGGCTCGA